AAGCAGGGGTGGGTTCTTTTGCCAGAGATCTGAAAGGAAAGGCAGTAACTCTGAGACATGGGGTTAGGAGGTCACCTTGTGTATAGAGGGCAGCAGGGAGATAGGCGTAGAGCTGGGAGCAGGAGACAGGAACAAATGGGACAGCAAAACTCCTTCATGGGGCAGAGCGGGGAGTTTCTGAGGAGGATGTCTGACAGACTTGATCGCACTTTTGGTAGAATTACAGTAGCTGATGGAAAGAGCAGGGGAGTCAAGTTCTCTGGATCATAGATAAAGCACCTGATACTAATGTGTCTTGAAACCTTACCTGAAAAAGAAATTTGAGGTGAATTGGAGTGTGCACGCTCCCTTCTTCCAGACATGTTGTCCTTTGGGTTAAACTAAGTAATGAACATCTACAATTTAATGACTTGGAAGGAATGTAAACTTGTAGCTTTTCTGACTAGCCTGGCAGAGGAGGGAAACAGCATGCTAATTCCATTCCAAGCATAGGGAGGCTTTGGGAGGGCAGAGACGCAAAATAAGTAGGAAGCAAGAAATAGACATAATCTGGAAAAAAGCAAACCAGTACCTCATGCTGTAGGTGTAAAAAGCAAAAGATTTTTAGTATCATAGCACTAAGGAACCCCAGCCATTGACTCAAAACTCTACTGTACCAAGCTGAGTGCAAGCACTGACTAAAAACAGCCCATCCTCCAAGAGTCTACAAACAAAATAGGAGAGAAGAGGTAATTGATTTGATATCAATAGATGAGAGAAGCCAAGAGAGTTGTATTGGTCAGCCTGGTAGGGACAGCTGTTAGCCCAGCAGCAGCCCAACATGCAGTTGTCAAGTTTCTTGTTGGCATTGTGGCAGAAGAGCTGTAGGGAGACACTGAAAGGAGGCTTACAAGGTAGTCTGGCAGGCATTTATAGGACCTCCAACCAAATAGGGGGGACAGCATGGGGGAAAAGCACAAAGGTGCTTGTTGGAAAACATAACAGGTGAGTGATGGAGGCTGGCATCATCAGTCAGTGTGAGCTGACCACTCAATAGCAAAGCAGAAGGCAGGGCCTGGTGGCACTGTAGAGACTAATTGATTCAGAGAGGCATGAACTTTCAGAGGTGATGGCATCTGAAGTATGTTGTTATCTATGAAAGATTGTACCTCTGAGAACCAACTGGTCTCTAAGGTGTTACCCTGCCCTGCCTTGTGCCTGACTTAGAATCATAGAGAAGCAGGGCTGGAAGAGACTGTAAGAGGTCATCTAATCCAGCCCCCTGCCTGAGGCAGGATCATTCCTATCCAGACCATCCCATACAAATCCATAACGACCCAGACTCGTGTGAGACTCATCTGGCCCATGGAGCTGGCCCACAGACCAGATTGGACCCCCAGGCTGGCCCTGCACGCTGAATCTAGCATGTGTCCTGGGGTGGCTGGAATGGGAGCTGTGTGCAGCATGGTTTTGCTCTGGCCTCTAGGGCTGTATTGCACACAGCAGCCACATATTGAAGTGGACATTGGGGCGTAGTGGCCAGAGTGGGCACCATGCAGCATGCTGTGGTCTCTGCCACACCCCACAGGCTGCCTGTGGATCAGTTCTAAGACCCATGGGCAGCACTTGGGGCTGGATGAAGGGGCTCCACGGGCTGGATCCAGCCAGTGGACTGTGTCTTTGACACCCTGGTCTAAATCTGTTAGTAAAACTACACAGTCAGCCACAAGGCATAACTGACTAACCTGCCCCAGGTAAAGCAGAAGAACCACAATGATCAATGTCCTGCTGCTCCAGAGGTTGTTGAAATTTGCTCAAGAGATCCAAAGAAAGAGACTTCAGACTACCCAGCTAACTACAGTAAGATACAGATTCTGAAGGACCATGAAACTGAAGATGAAAGAAATGCTGTGGTTGGGGTTTAACAGCAGACAGCCAATTATATGTGAGATTACTGGGATACATCAGCAAAAAAGCCAGAGGGGTGCATATGGTTCTGTAGAGTCATGTCCTGGATCAGAGGGTTAATGATTTCTCTTCACGCCACATCCATGTGACTGTCTTTGGACTTGGACATTCCAGTCCACCCCCCCCCCCAACAACCTGGTAATGTGCAGCTGAAGGGAGCTTGAAGAGCAGCAGAAATGGCTGAGGGGCTAGGGCAATGTGTGAGAAAAAGGGATAGAATGGAAAGCAGGCCTGGCTTGGTTAAGTGATGTCTGATAGGAAATGACCATCAGTGTGACTTGAAGGATGAAAAATTGTGAGTAGTCATTCAGTGCATGCTGGGCTACAAGATCTTTGGGACAGCAGCCTTGTCTAATTAGCCATTCTGTGCGGTGTGTAGGGCATGGAATAATGCATGAACCTGAGAGAAGTGAAACTCTAGCTGGCTCCTGGGATACTTCCCCCAAAAAGTGATGCCTGCTAAGGTTCATCTGTGCTAGACTTTTTTTTTTTTTTTATCTTCACCTAAGATAAATGGCTAGTATTGGCAATGCGGGACAAACATTTGGAGAGCATCCATTCCAGCCTTTAGAAGCATGCGTTATCTAGTGTGTTTTATTTGTCAGCCAGTTTAACTGAAGGTGTAAAATCTCTGGCACAAACAAGCCTTTAGAGTGCTCTCCCAGAGGGGAGTCAAATGTCACCATATTCCTAACTTCTTTACTCCTGGGGGAGGTAAAGGGGATCGTGGAAGCTGTGCTCCTTAAATGCGGGGCTGTGGTTGAAGTGCACCCAGGCAATGGAATCTTCTGAGATAGAATCAGGCTGGAGGTACAGGCTTGCTGGTAATGATGGGTGTTTGTTCATGCTCTTCCTTCCTTTGCCACTCCTCCTCCCCTTTCACACAGACCTCTGGAGAACCCTCATCGTGGGAATGTGAAAAAATGGGATGGAAAGGAAGGCATATTCTGGGGACTGCACTTCTCTCTGTGGTCACTAGATGGTAGAAATTGCTCACTTGATTCTTAACTGGCAAGATGAATGGTGGGTGTGGTGCCAAAATATCAGGTTACTTCTAGCCAGGGTTGGGTTTTGGAGGAAAGAGTCTGTTTTGGGTAAAGAGGTGCTGTGTTTCAGATAGGTGAAGTGTTTAATGTTAATAGACACCATTTACAGTGCAAATCTGCTTTGAGAAGTGATGGAAATTACACCATGGGGCTCCATGTTCATTGGGTTACCATGTCTCCAGCTCAAACCTCAATTTGCAAATGCTGGGCTTAGCAAATGATCCTGCTCAGGCTCCAAGAGCTGTCCTTGCGAAGAGCAGATAAATTCTTGTCCCTAAGGTCACCTGCCATGTCTCCCAATCAGTTTGTTTGGGAGGATGAGCCAAGAGCAGATCTGAGGATGGAAGGTGCCTTTCTGCACTTTTACTACCTTATCTGTTACTTGAAACAGGTATTTGGTCTGCCTGGGACAACCTTTGTCAGGGTGTAATAGGAACACGGGAACTGTGAAATTGGATCAGACCTAAGGTCCCCCAAGGCCACAGGTGGCCAGTCTGTGCCATGGGTGCCACAAGTGGCATGGAAAGCCTCTGTGTGCAGCACTTGGCAAACCTGGGAGGGAGAAGGCAGCACAGCAGCAGACAGGGAAGGGGAAAAAAAATCAGAGCAGCAGCAGGGGAAGGGAATCAGAGTGGTACTCGAGAGTATGGACTAGTTTGTGGCAAGCCTGCTAAAAAAGACGAATTGCATGGTTGGGATAGATGTAGGCAAGCTTTTGGTTATTGTAGTAGGCCTGAGGAAGGGTTCTGTGATACCTGAGAGCTTGTCTAGGTCTGTACCAAGCATATCATTGGTCCAATAAAAGGTATCGCCCTCAAGAATTCTGGAAATTCTTGATTTTTTTTGATTTCCCCCCCCCCCCCCCTCCCCTTAGGAACCATGGATTTGTGAACCATAAATCTGAGATCTTTCCCCTCTTTCTAGTCTGTCAGATCACCAACGCCTCCATTACCCTTTCACAGGTTACATTTCTCCCATGGCTTCTATAGGACATTAATCTCAGTAGTGTGGGGTAGTAGGGAATAACACTTCCGTTACCCTGCTTTTGTCTCCTCCATGAATCAAACCCAGTGAGCTGTTTATGCAGCTTTTGCTCCCTGTTTGGCAGTGACTTTTGAATTTGCAGTCCAGATCTTGGTGTTGAGCTGCCTATATCCAGATGTTTATTGGGGTAATAGGCTGCACAGCTCTCCCGGGAATCCACTGTAACTCAGCATCTGTGGCACTAGGTTCTTCTGAGCCCTTTCCCAGGCACTCCCTCATTCAGGGGAGATGTCTATTCAGTAGTCCAAAAAACAGACATTAGGAAAGCGTAAAATATAACCAACCCTCCTGCCATAAGTTCTCTCATGTGCATATGTGCATCCCACAACAACTGATAGTTAGCAGGCTGCAGCCCAGTCTACTCTCCTGCTCCCAGATTGGATTCCTGGGTTGTTTTCATTGTCATTGAGCAAAACGAATGTGTTGGTTTGTATTCAACTATCGAAAATCATATAATGGTGATAGTCACTGCCTTAGCTGACGTATTGGGATTTGAACTGGGAACTTCCAGAGGTAAAAGCATGAACAGCCAGAGCTTGACCTAAAAGGCCAAGGCTGTGGCCGAGAGAGGACTTTAATAGGCCTTCTGTCTGATTCACAGAAGAACACCAGTTACCTCTTACACACCAGGGAGGTTATGTAACCGTGGAAGTCATGTATGTATTGTTATGCTCTATGTAAGTGAGGCTGCGGCCCTTGTCTCCTGACAAGGTGTGGCTAATGCGGCCTTGGGTCATCCCAAGTTGAAGAGCCCTTGACTTGTGGTTAGCCGGGTCTTGGGTGCATCTCTAACTACTCTTTTTTTTTTTTTTTTCCCCCCCTCCCCCCACCACTGCAGGCTCGGGCCCAAGCGGAGGCCCTCCACATTGGGGATGTGCACTTCTCTGTCAAGCCTGGCTCCAGCACCTCGTCACCCAAGCTCCACTCCAGTGCCGCTGTACACCGGCTCAAGAAGGACATCCGGAGATGCCACCGCATGTCCCGCCGCCCCCTGCCCCGCCCGGACCCCCAAAACAGCGGGAGTATGGGCGGGGCAACCGGCATCCGTCCTCCAGTCTCGCCTTTCTCGGAGACCGTCCGCATCATCAACCGCAAGGTGAAGCCTCGTGAGCCCAAGCGCAGCCGCATCATCCTCAACCTAAAGGTCATTGATAAGGGGGGGAAGACCACCAATGGGTCAGGGGCACTGGCTCGGCCAAAGATCCCCTCCAGAAACCGTGTCATCGGCAAGAGTAAGAAGTTCAGTGAGAGCGTCCTCCGCTCCCAGATCCGCCACATGAAGTTCGGCACCTTCTCTCTCTATAACAAGCCGTCCGCCACGCCAGCCTCATCACTGGAGGGGAAGACGGAAGCAGAGGGTTCCCAAGCAGCCTCCTGTGGGCTGATCGTGGGCTCCACCCCTTACGATGCCCGCAGCTCCAGCTCCTCCGGCTGTCCCTCACCCACCCCTCACTCCTCATCTGACCCAGACGATTCTCCCCCAAAGCTGCTTCCCGAGACCCTCAGCCCTGCCATCCCTGACTGGCGAGAGTCAGAAGTGCTCGACCTCTCCATCCCGCCCGAGTCAGCAGCAACCAGCAAGCGGTCACCCCAGGGGGGATGTGGCGGGGGCCAGACACCACCATCATCATCCCTCTCCTCCTCCGACCCAGAGCAAGAGGCAGGCGACTGGCGCCCCGAGATGTCCCCATGCTCTAATGTGGTGGTCACGGATGTCACCAGCAACCTCCTGACGGTCACCATCAAGGAGTTCTGCAATGCGGAGGATTTCGAGAAGGTGGCAGCGGGTGGAGGAGGTGGCGGTAGCAGCAGCAAGTGAGCAGCTGGATCCCTGTGCCGGGGTGGGGGAGGCTCTGCTGCGAGAAGTCATGGTGTGAATGGCTTGTGGTTAGTTTTCTTCTTCTCCCCCCTTCCCTCTCCCTTTTTTTTTTTTTTTTTTTTTTTGTGGGTTTTTTTTCTTTTTCCTTCCTGCTTGGAGACTGGGGTGGGATGGGGGTGAGGGAGGCTAGAAATCTGAGGTTCCCAGATGTCACCGCTGTGAGTGGGTGGGGTGGGAAGCTATTGATCCTCAAGGAACATGTCAAATTGGTGTGGAGCCTGGGGGGTGGGGAGAATGTGCGTGTGTATGTGTGTTTGGGGCAGGGAAGGATCTCCCCACCACCCTACCTGAAGGTGCTGGTGAGCTTTTGCTCTTGGTAGGGAGGGCAAGGGGTGTCAAAAAGGGAGCCCATGACAAGTACATGGTCCCTTCTGGTTCTTCTCCTTGTCTTCTGAGGCAGCTCCTAATCTTGTCCCCTTTCTGTGGTATGGATTGGCTCTCTCCTGCCATCTGGCCAATGATACCTGACATCATCAGAAAGACGGACAGGAGATCAGACCATAAAGCATTGTGGCCAGAACCCAATTGCAGCACAGCCCACATATGGGTGTCTGCTCTTGCAGTTCATGACCCAGGCTCACTTCCTTCTTGCTCTTATGATTGGTGCTAACTTGGCAGTTGTATGGGCATTTTGAGACCACCTGGGCCCTTACTCCTTCCTTTCTTCTGCTTCTTCCCTCCTGGATCTTCCAATATGTTCAGCCTCTTTGGGACTGTTGCTTCCATTCTGGATCTTCCTCCTAGTGTTCATCACTTGCACTGGCTTGGGTACAGGGCATAAAGTAGCCTTCCTAAGCTTTTCCGTGGTGGAAGTGGGAGAACTGCACATCCGTCCTTCAGTCCAGGGGGAGAAATGTACTTGGAGTGATGGTGCCCCAGCAGGGTGTGGCCAACAGGTCATCTTGCACAGAGCTCCACCAAATCATTTTACTATCCTTGCCCTGCTGGTGGCAGGAAGGTGGTCTCCTCGGTTTGATCTGTTCGGTTGGTGCACTGGAGTGGATTCACCTCTGCCTTTCCAAGGTCTGAAATTGCCTCTACAATTGTCAACCAAAGGTGCTAAGAACCTGTTGTAAGACTTACTGGGTCTCTTACACATGTGCACGAGTGTGTGTGCATGCATATGCTTCTCCCAACTCCCTAGTTTCTTACTGAACATGATTAAAAAAAAAAAAAAATCTGAAATCACCCCCACCCCTTGCACCTGGGAGCAGGTGAGTGCAGCTTCCATCATTCCCCTTCCCCTCTGTGCTGTTAATTTCCAAGCCACAAAAGCACTCTACTCTGCTGTTTGTGAATGAGCTTGGTGGTAAGATGCCCTTCTTTTGTTTTTTCCGCTGGTGTGGTGCTGAATCTGAGGAAAGCGGAGACAAGGGGAAGAGAGGCTGATACAGTCCATCTTTGTTTGTGTCCTTGCATCTGCCTTGATACCATTTTTGTGAGTGGGAGGGTATTGGGCCCTCTCATCATAGGACCCATACATTTATCTTACCTTTTATATGCATGTGGAGTGGGTGGGAATGTGGGAAAGGAACTCTGTCCAGATGGCTCATCATCACCCAAAGAGCAGATTGAACTGGGTGGAGTTCACACTTCTTGCAGGTGGCCATCAGAATTCAGGTTCTAATCTGAAACAAGTGTCCACAGGGATTTGCATCAAAACTACAAGAAGTGCAAATTAAAACCAGTTTAATTCAAGCTGCATGTCAGCCATCTGAGAGATGCTTCCAGGTGCTGTTATTCTCACCCTGTGTGCACATTATTATTATTATTTTTTTAACACACAATATTTAGCAGCTATGTTTGCAGGGGAGTGGGGAGAAGGAGTTTTTTTTTCCCCCCCATTCATTCACCAATTCAAGGCTTCCTGTAATGTGTGTGTGTATGCGTATGTATGTGTGTATTAATATCTGCCTGTTGTCTTTGTGGGTTTTGAGTTTTTTGCATCTTTCTTTCACCTTGCGCACCCAGGATTCTCTTATTTCTTGACAGCTTATTCTTATGGCTGCAGCTTCAAGGACAGGTGGCTTGGGACAGGGGAAGAATATCTATATTAGGGGAAATAGCAAGGAGACCTGTATTAAAAGGAAAAGTTTTTTAGAAAATAATTATTTTATGAGGCTGCAAGATAAGAGGAACTATTTTATGGGGTAGATGCATACTGGCCAGTCACTTTTTTTTTAGTCGTTTGGTTACTGTTTGGCGTGTATGTGGTGGTGTTCCTGTTTTGTGGTAATGAAGTTCAGAAATGTTCAAAAAAGTTTGTGGGAGATAAAAAGGGAACTTGTAATAGGAAACTCTTGACGTGTTTTAGCCAAGAATTGTTTACTTGGCCAAATTCTTTTTTTCCCCCCCCGCCCCCGGTGTCTGTTGTTCGGTGTTCTTGGATAGTTTCCAAACTGAAGGGTTTTCGCCTTCCTCTGGAGTGATGAATAACAGGATTGTCCATTAGGAGCTGCAGATGGGTCTGTTGTAGGGAACCTCTATGAGGACCAGACAGTTGGTGACCCTTCTCTGCAGTTGGGAGGTGAGGGGGCTACTGGGCTTTGGAGGAACTTGCATCCTAGATCAACTTTGTATTGGAAAGAAGTATGATCCAGTCAGCAGAAGTAGCTAGACCACTTTTGGGTGATGTCCCTACCTTGAGTGGGTTATCTGCAGGGACTGAACCTCTGGATCTAAAAGCATGAGCCTCTCTACTGCTTGAATTAAGGACCATCTCTGAGTGCAGTAGGACCCTCAAGCTTTGTGTGGTCCAGTTACCAGAGATTGATGAAGATTTATGCTGGTATAAAAGTGGCTTTATATACTCACCTTTATGAATTTTTCTCCCCACTCTTACCGGGAGATAGAAAGGAAGGTCCCACCCATGCCCTTTAGAAAGGGCATGAGGTCAGACGAGGGGTTTATTCAAAAGCATCCCCCCTCCCCCCTAAAAAAAGAAAACAAATAAACAGGGAAGCATTCTCTGTGTCTGTGCCATGTATGTTCTCTTGTTGTGTTTTTAGAGGAGATTTTATGATGGAGTGGAAAAAGTGAAATGACTAGTTTTGCAAAAAAGAGAAAAGTTAAAAAAAAAATGACATTTCTACAGGGAGAGAGAGAGAGTTTTAAAATGAATAATAAATGCAGTGATTGCACAAACTGTAGTGGTATTAGATGGTCCTTAGAGAAGAGAGTATTTTGTAGTATTAAAGTGTTTGTGTGTCTGGGATGGTCTTTGGCTCACTTAAACTGGAGAAGGATGTTAAGGGTAAGCAGCAATTTCTGATCTGAAGAGGCAAGTCACATTTTGGAGGAACCCTGGATATTTACCCTTCTCTTCGCCACTTCCCCAAACCTTGGAGTGACCTCCATCCAGCAACCCTACCAGACCTAAGCCCCCTCCCCTATCCACTCCTCTCCACAGATAAGATGGAGACTTTGAACTGTTGCCCCATCCCTTCCTGGGTGCAAGGGTGCCAAAGTTGTAGCAGAAGTGGTAAATCCTATTCTGGCAGAGTCTAGGAGAGGCTGATGGCATGGAAACGGTCTGTTGACTTCCTCTGCCTGCAGGTTGTGCCACTGAGATGTTCAGGCCAGCTTGCACCTTCCTTGCCAAATAACCACCCCAGGCAGGAGTAGAATAAAGGCAGCACAACTCCCCTCCTAGTCTCTTGGTCCCTGCCACCTATCTATAAGGCAATGGCATTTTACATATAGAAGGTTGGAGGTTTAAGACCCAGCTAGACAAAGCCTTGGCTGGGATGATCTAGTTGGGGCTTGTCCTCCTTTGAGCAGGGGGTTGGATTAGATGACCTCCTGAGGTCCCTTCCAGCCCTCATTTTCTGTGATTCTAAGTTGTCACCCCAGCATTGAAAGAGCAGAGTCCCATCTGAGTTGATGTCCCATCTCTGGCAGTGGCCAATGCCAGATCTTCAGAGGAAAGCGAAAACCCCTCTGTGTACTTGAAGTTTCAGACAGCTGGGGAGTGCCCTTTCCTTGGGAGTGCTGGGGTTCACAGGGTATGGGGGGACAGTGGGTGACATGGGGTGGGGGGTTGCCAGGAGCAGGGCTGTATTCTGTTGGTGGGGTGCTGCTTCACTGTCTCTTGAAGTGAAAGAGGCTGCTGTTGCCATCGCGCCTCACTTCTGCGCTGCGTGGCAGTCACCGGATCTGTTGGGGTGACCGTAAGAAAGAAGACAACCAAACATTGGCCTCTGAATGTAACAGAAGTGAGTGGACGGAGGTCATCTGGCAAAACGTTTTGTTTTGTTTTTTCCCTTGTCAGGGTCTCTCCTGTGCATTCTGGGTAAAAACCAACCATCCAAACAAAACTACTTCCCTTGTCTGGCTGGTCTTGGGAGCTCACTTTCTCCTCTTCTCCCTGCCCCCTGAGCTCTGCTAGTGCTCTTCCCTCATGACCTGCAGCTTTCATACTGAACAAACATATGTGCCAGGGGTGGGTAAATGCGGCCCGCCAGGCCATTCTATCCAGCCTGTGGGGCCCCTAAAAATTTTAGAAAATTAATATTTATCTGTCCCTGGCTGCCTGCCATGCGGCCATTGATGGCTTGCCAAAACTCAGTAAGCAGCCCTCTGCCCAAAATAATTGCCCACTCCTGCTATATGCCAATCTCCTACCTTTGCCCAGCACTCCACTCTAGACTGATTGGAGTTGGGATAGTTCCATGAAGCTGACAAGGATGCAATGCCTTTTCCAGGGGTGGGAGGATGTACTTAGGCACTATGGACTCTGGAAGGTGGTCCTGGTTTCTAATCCTGGGTGAACCACTGATTCTCTTTGTATTTTCAGGGGTGAGGGGAGTTTCTTTGTCTCCCAGTACTTGAGTTCCACGTGTACCACCACCCCTTACTCCCCCAAGCTGAGGGGGAAGGTCAGACCCTCCCTCTGTTATCAAATAGGTGCTGAGCTGAGTCTTCCTGGGGAATAAAATCCCCTTCCTGGCCCCTGCTTTTAGGGGAAGTTTCAGCAGCTTTGCAATATTCCCAACAGCTGGTTTAATCCCCTTCCCAGGTGCCTATCCTTCTGGGAATGGAGAGGCACCCTAAAGAACACACTGAGGTGTAGCACTGGTCGAGGGCATGGAAGCATTTTTTCCCTCACTCCCGCCTTTCTGGCCACCTCGGTAACTGTGGCATTGGTGGTGGGGAAAGGGGGGTAATGAAACCATTGGGGGAGACCTTTCTTCCCAAGTGGTGTGAAATTCTAGTTGTGTAGAGGGGGCATGTGCAGGGAGGTGTGACAAGCCTAAGATGGGGGAGAGGGTTTATGCTTGCTGGCCTGTCCGGACCCCCTCTTCCCTCTGCCCCACTTGCCTTTTATCCCAAGGCCTTGCACTTCTTGCCTGGCGCACCCTGTACTCCAATATTGCTTGCTTTGCTGCATATTTCGATTCTGCCCAATAATCGTGCAAGAGCTGGGATCTTATTTACTTTTTTATATAAAAATATATATAAATATTAAAGAATCCCCCATGTAACCCGTCCCAATCCTTGTACTGAAGGCAGGATGGTCCAGAGGGTTGATCTTGGGGCTGGGAACTAGGTGCTGCTGGGTTCTTTTCATTTGATTTGCTGTGGCCTTGTCCCAGCTGGTTCACTGCCCTGTGTCTCCATTTCTTGTACTCTGCCATGGGGAGAGAGCATCCTCCTCATTTGTACAGAGCTATCTAGGTGCCAGATATTGCTTCAGAAAAGCCCCTTGTTTGACCTCAACTCATTTTGTTGCTGCTCTGGTGTTGAACACGGCAGTGTTTGGGGCTGTCCCCCCAAACATACATTTTGGGGGAGGGGAGAATCTACCACCACCACTTCCACCATTGTTGCCCAGAACTGGCCTACATCTGATCTGTGTCTTGGCAGCTCCTACTTGCTTTCCTCCATCTATGGCAAAGCAGGGGCTGACACAGGCTATTGTGTTCTGGGATTTGTATGTTGGCTAAGATGTGTTATACACTTCAGGGTCAAGAGAGCCCTTACTGGCTTTTAAAGAAGACTGGGGACTTGCTGACTTCCGCCAGCTCCTTTTAAAATGTCTCCATCCAGGTACAAAGTGGAGATGCCAGTTATCTCCATGGTTGTAACCCTGGCAGTTCTGTCCCTCCCATCTTCTGTGTAGCACAAGATGAAACTCTATGGGATTGTGTAGAAGTGCAGAGCTGAATCCAAGGCAAGCTTTCCACCCTAATGGTACACATTATCCAGCCTTATGAGGACATTCTGCTCTCATGTCCCAAGGGCTGGAGGGTGGGAATCTGTCTGGGAAACTGCAGAGGCAGTCCCAGCAATGGGTGGAGTGGAGCAAGGAACCCCCTGGTTAGTGCGAAATGGGTAAGGGAAAAGGAAAAACAATGACATGAGAAAATCGGTAAGAATAATTGGAGTGGTGCCATCTTAAATGGTGGTAGTGGTGGATGGCTTGAAGTATCAAATTTGGGGAGGGCACTGGTGGCTGCTAAACAGATTCAGGGTTAGTCCCCTGGGGAGGCAGTACCTCAGGAGGACCTGATTCCGCGAAGTGTGCATGCTTAAATCAATTCCTCTTTAGCAAAAGCACTTAAAGTATGTCCTAGACTTTAAGAAGTCTGTCATTTATATGTCAAAACGCTTCACAGAATTGGAGCCTTGCCAGTTGTTTTAAGAATCAGCATGAAAAACATGACCACAGTCTTTGTGCTTCCTTCAGCAAGGACAGAGGAAATAGCTGGGTCAGCATGTATCTGGAGTAGCCCAGATGCTTCTGACACTAGGGGAAGGTAAGGGAGGGGTTGGCCAATGTCCTTGTTGGAGGAAGGAGCAATAGCTAGTCTCTAAATTCAAGTTCTTAAACATAATTTTAAAAATGTACTGACCTCTACATTTTGGAGATAAGCTACTTGATACATCCCTACCCTGTTTCCCTGCCCTTGAATCCCCTCCCTTTACGGCAGATTTTTTCATCAGAAATGTTTTTTTTGTTGGTTTTTTACCTTCTGCATAGAAAATTGCAAGGTGCTGGTGGGGAAATCAGGGTTTCCCCTGTTTGCCTTTTCCTTCCCATCTCCTGGTGCCAGGCTTTGGCTCCGATCCTGCAGACTTATGCACACAGTTTCAGCATCCAAGTACTCATGGATCTCTGTGGTACTTGGCTGCTTTGGGTTAAGCATGTGCTTGTGTCCTGGCAAACTCTTTTAAAAAATCGCGGATTTGTGTAATGGTGACAGTCCTAATACAACCCAGTTGTCTTTTCCCCTCGCTTGGCACAGAGTGGAGGTAGTGACTTTTTTTTAAATTTAAAATAAGCCTAAATATGTATCTTGTAATTTTTTTTAATTTTGAAAAATGCATTTAATTAAAATCGTGCCCAGATATAGATATACAATTTATATATATATATATATAATTTTTTTTGTTTTTGTTTTATTTTTAAATCCAGTTCCCAGCTGGCTAAACTCTGTCTGGAGTGGATGGATGGGAAGCATAGTCTGGGGGGGAAAGTGATAGGATCATCCCTCCCATTAGCGTTTCCAACGGAGATTTGGTTTGCTCCGGGTCTGGGGTAGGGGGTTGTGCTAATTACTCTTGTATTCTTGTACATTTTGTTCTTTCTGCTGCTCTTGAATATTGTATCAATGCCAGAAATGGGGAATTAAAAGAGGAAAAAAAAACCCCCAATAAATTGTTACATTCCAAAGTCTCTTGTCTGCCTTGAGTGGTCGTGATCTCAGTTGTATGTGGAACTGATGTCTTCTTCATTTGTTGATCGAATCTGTCAAGGGAAGGAATGGTGGTGGCCCCACTGCCTAAGGGAATTACAACTGCTTTGGCCCAAGTATGAGGGAACAGACTGCAGGGAATAACTTTAGAGTGACTCTGAGTGTCACTTTAATTAAAGCACCTGCACCATCATGTGTATTCAACATCCTGCGCTTCAAAATGGCATCAGGGGTTCTTTAAAGCTCATTCAACAAGCGTTAGTTATAGCCTCCCCCTCCACCATTTTGAAGTGCGGGGTCACTGAATGCACGTGACACAATCTCTTAGGGGGTACCAAAGTGCTCATCACCTCTCCTTCACGTCTAGCTTGTACCCTATGGATTGCCATAACTTGGTTCACACGTGTGACGAAATCTTCCCCCATTCGTTGTCTTTTGTCAGTGTGCCAGGGGCAAGAAAGCAAGGAAGAACTGCCCTGCATAAGGGGAAA